TGAACAGCCTGTAATTTAATTCTAAATATAAACATCTTCCGCACGATTTGATTTGCTGTATAATCTCTTTACAACAATACAGTTGTCCAAATGCCCGGGTTCCCCATTGCCCTTAGAATTCAGAGATGCTGCTGTGCAGTCGAGCTTAACAAGTTATTTAAAAGGCTTGTTACAGGATCATTTTCTCACCATGTGATGATTATTCTTGGTCAGGGCAAAGAAGCAAATGCTGTGATAGCAATAAAGAAATTGCCTTGTAAGATCCCGTAGCCAGATCTCCTAGAAGTTAGTCATTCCCTCAAGACCTGGTATTGGTGTTGTCTTACTTTGATGCCTGGGTACCTTACCACCCAGTCACTTGTAGAAGTCAAACTTTTTGTATCACATAGACATTTTACTCAATCCTTATACTTAGTTTCAGAGCCATAGATTGACATGAGGTAAATTCTCTTTGCAGTGACCTGACAGAAGTGCATGTTACCGATTTGATGAGAGCTTCAAAGTTTCTCTCTGGGAAGCTGAATGATTTTTGCCTTTAACTGAGTTGTTAGTGGTTAATTACATTTGGATATAAATGAGAGGAAAATCAATTCATAGGTGATCCAAAATTCTTGATGGGAGTTTAAAATAGAGAATCTGTGTATTCTCCCTAACATAGAGCAAATGGAGGGGAGTATGGGCAGTGCAAGGTAAAGGTGGAACCTTGAAAACAAACCTTGTTGTATAAGTACCAGATATCCTAAGTTTGAGTGATGAGTTGCTATACAACAGGGAAGTTGGTACCTGAGGTTGCAGTGTTGTTGGTGGAATTATATTTGAAGCTTTTTGTTGGCAAATGTACAAACAGAAGCATACCTTCCCAAAAATCATTTCAAGTGCTCTTGTGGAGGGGACATTGTCTTTTTATAGTCACTGACATACTTCATTATTGTAGTTTTCTGTGATAGTTGGATGGGAGGACATCTCCAAATCACTTCTAATTTAAACAGTTTTAAGACTAAATTGTAATTTTCTTGTCTTAAACCATTTTTACCCCTTTATCTAGCAAGGGCTTCCCCCAACAGTAAAGTGTTGTCCAACTCTTCAATTCACCAAGCCAGAATTCAACTATTACCTCTGATTTATCCAATTTTTTCTCCCCTTATAGTACCTTATTTAGGTATGTTAGTTATACCTTAGAATATACCCCTGCCTGTCACTCTAGACTGAGTGATCATAATCCCTCACTGGTGTCACTAGAGAACTGTCCACCTGAGCCTCTTTGGATACTTTAAACATTCAGCAGATGCTGAAGAGATCCAATGTGGTCAATTGGTCTGGTCCCCTCATAAAACCATAAACGGCATTACATTGTAATTAAATGACATTTACCACTTGGTATTTGATGGATATTGCATCCAAAGCTCTCAGCATACACCTTAATCTCAAAATGGCATGGTATTTGTGTATAACACATTTATCTTTTTTGTATGTTAAATCACTTCTAGATTCCTTATAATATTACAATATAAATTCTAAGTAAATAGTTATCATACTGTACTGTTTAGGGAATAATAACTGGGAAAAGTTACACATATGCAATTCAGGTGGAATGCATTTTAGAAGTATTTTAAATCTATGGTTGGTTGATTGAATCCATGGATATGAAACACTCAGCTCCAGATAGCCAATGGGAATAGCACATTCATTTTTCTAGCCTCCATCATCTGTTCCAAGCATATCTTTCTGAGTTCTAGCTTCACTGCTTTCTTTCTGTCCCTGAAAAATGACAACTATAGTTCTATATAAGGGTGCTCTGCCTGGTGAACCCTGCTTCTGAGAAGATCTGCAAGGCCAGCCAACCACTTGGACTTTCAAGAATCAGGATAAGACTGATCCATGGAGAGAAAGTAGAAGCTCCTCCTGTGTGGACACTCTAGCCTTCCTTTGACATTTGGTTTTCACACAACACCTTTGTGTTGTACCACACCACCAATATTGTTCACAGGAATTCTGAAGAGCTCATAGCTTTCAAGAAACAGGGGTTTCTTTACTCACTCTTCATGTCTACCTTGGGCCATTGTCCTCACTCAGAGGGATAGGCAGGTACCCCTTTAACTAGAATGATACTGTTGTCATGAAAGAGAAAGGAATAAGGTGGTTTTACACAGGCATATAGGATTTTACTATAAGTATCACACATCACATGTAGTCGTCTTACATTAGTTAAAGCAATTCACATAGATATTCCCCTCCTCGGAGAACTAGGAAGGTATCTCACACTTTGATATGTACACTAGTGATCATCCACCCTTTCCAGTTTGTAAGACATATGCAAGATACAGTAAATTCTGCGTAATTTGCCGAGTGTTTGTATGTGACAGTATGTCTCTAACCCCTTACCCCCCAGCTAAAATTGAGTTAATGCCTACTTTATAAGGTGGGATTTAGATTTAAGTGAATTAATACCTAGTCCATATATACCATGTCTACTATAAGAATCAACAATTGCTGTGATGATGGAACACAGGTAGGTGAGTTATAGTGTGCACAGAAGTTATTTATCAATCAATGTTTAAGTCAAAGGAAACTGTTCTGGAGTAGGATTTTGGTCACAATTTAATGAATTGGACCTTTATAGATAGATACACATTCTTAGTGAGCAAAAGTAAAGGAAAGTATTCTTTGCCTACACACAAAATATATGTGCTTTATTGTTGCTTCCCAGAATCTAGAAATATTATGCATGTGACTTCCCCCATCATTCGTTTTATTTGTAAGCTTAAACTCTTATTCCCAGAGGATCAGTACAAGTACATTGCAATTGCTTAAAAATGTGAATACAATCCTTATGACCGTGAGAAAGCTGTTTATGCTCAATCCCATGACTTCTAATTTAAAATACCCACAAGCACAGAGGTCTCCCAGCAAGATGAGAACTCCTGTATGCCTGTGCTCTTTGGTATGCAGGATTCATTTGTATCTGCAGTAGGAGCTTGGGTAATTGGAGTTTAGTCTAATGTTTTCATGTTGTGGAGGGAAGGATGAATAAATGTACTATCTGTCTTACAAGACCTAGAAATATCTTTCAAAATAGAGAAACTGTCTTTAAGACAATTCATCACTTTGAGCTACCGAAAATGTTCACAGAGTCTTCAGCAATGGGATTCTCCAGTTGTCACTGGTGTCTAACAACTAAAAATGCCACATGTTATTCATGTAGTACCTCATGGAGAGAACTTCCCCGACCAAACTATGTGAAATTGAATCAAGTGGGTTATGAACAGTACTTTACTGTTGAGCCACACCCAAGCCCGGCTCCATTCTTTCTTCTAATTGTTTTCTAGAACTTTGCATTGTCCCCATTGGATGGACTATAAAGCTTACTGTTTGTTACTTCCTCCAAGTGAAATTGGCACTCCAAGAAGGCAGAAGCATATGTGTGTTTTTTTGCATACTATACTTACAGTACTAACAAAACATGTTTTTAATAAGTGAAATCCCTTCTTGTGGATTTACTCAATATACAGCATTGGTTTTGCTGTCATATGTAAAATTTGTATACGAGGTATGGGCATTGTTATCTTGAAATACCCCCCAAAGAAGTGTTTGTGTTGTTATGAATACAGATAATGTGCAACTGGTTGGAGCTGAGTGTCACAGGTATTTTATGAGTGTGACTGTGATTATTAGCTAGAGAAATCATCTATAGGCCATTACTTCAGTTATAGCTTAAATTCATCTTGCAAGTTTGTATCATGCTGTTTGATAATAAAATCCAAGTTACATTTCTGTAATTTTGAGTTAGGTGGTTCTAACAGAAGTACCACATAGTGAGACTTCCAGCCTTTGACTTATAACTACTCAGTCTTCATCAGGATTTACACCAGCTCAGAGCACTATACCACTCAGCTCAATTGAAGAAAACTCTTTGATTGGGCATCTTTGTGGCTTATCAGTGTAGATGAACCCTGCCTCCTTTAAGCCTTACATTGACAGTCACCCTGCTTACTATCTTTGAGTCAGTACACCCAGTAGTCCTGGCTATTAGAACAGAGTGTAGAGATTAATGGTGTGGATTCTCCCTGTCACTTAGGTAATGGTGGAGGTGAAAGTCAGATGGTAGCTTTGTCTTTATGGTAGGAGGATGAGCCAGGGACGGTATTAAAGTGCAGTTAATGTTTGGAGTTTGTTCCTTGTATAACTTTTCCTGGTGAGGTAGGAACCAGTGTCTGAACTCCCACTATGGCACCAATGCCAGACCAAAGAACCGATTTCACTCAAGTCTGGCTTGGATAAAGAATGGATTTGTTGGGACTACTTGTGGGAGGTGTATGCATGAAAGTTACTGAGAGGAGCATGGGTGACTCAAGCTGCTTCATTAAAAGGCCCATCCTAGCATGGGGTGATGACTCACAAAGGCTGAATCCATGGAACTCCACAAACAGCTTGAAAACAGTGCCATCAGAGAGTATCGTCTCTCCCAGCATCCTTTGCTGGTCTTGTGAATTGCTAGCTTGGGCTACCTTCCTGAACCTGTTCAGTTTCCTTAATCTGCTGATCCTTAGGAGCCTTCCTGCCCCTCCTTCCAGCCCTCCTGGAGGTACTATTTCAATATAGAGGAAATAAATACACTGTAATGTTAGTAGTACTAATGACAAGAGGGAATACAAGTGTTATGCATCATAATGTTACCCCCATCCTATTCCCCATGCATCCATGGGGGCTAGGTACTTCTTACTTCATTCCACCATGGTCAGTTCTGATAAGAAAGCTCAGGTGGCTGAGGCAGGATTTGAATACTGCCTACTGGTCTCATTGTATGCTACTATGTTGCTTCTGAGCAGCAAAACAAAATGTTCTATGACACACACTTTACATAATCACTATTTGTTTGGCATGAAACACAGAAGCATTCTGGAAATATTTGTAAGACTATCACATTTAACAAATGAAAGTGTTATCTGTTTGAGCAAGTTTCAAAACATGCACTTATGTTCTTTATAAATGTTACATTGCAGCCTTCTGTCTTCCATAACATATTCTCCTAAGTTGGAGCGTAAGACAGCAGAGTGTGTGCTACCAGCTGACAGTGACAATGAGAAGGGGGAAAGAAATAGCAAACGTGTCTGCTTTAACGTAGCAGGAGAAGAACAAGAGGATTCAGGTCACGACACCGTAAGCAACAGAGACTCTTACAGGTGAGCTGCTCCTTGGTCTCATTTCAACAACAAGGGCAAATGAGATTTTATGTTTTCTTCCAAAATCCTAAAAAATATTGAAAGTTGATTTTGTTTGTTGCTGTTTCAAAATAGCCACCAGTTCAATTAGGGCAGCATTGTCTTTAAAGTTGTTCTCATTAGTGATCTGGCTTAGCATTCCCTCCCCCATCCAGCGGTGTGGCCCTATTTGTGAAAGAGTTGTTTTTACAGGCTGATTGTTCAAAATATCCTTCTGACCATGGTTTATTAGCTAGCAATGAGCAGTTCTTTTTGCCCTGATTCCCATATATATATATATATATATATATATATATATATATATATATATATATAATCACACTTCCATATCCAGCTTTGTGTTTGCTTCCTCTAGGGGCTATTTCTGTAGTAATAATCCAGGACTGATAGCATAAAGTACCCTCAACTGGCTGACTTGAACAACAGAATTTGTCACATAGCCTGACCAAGATGTTGACTGTGTTGGTTCCTTCTGAGGACTGTGAAAGAAGGGCATACTCCAGGCATCAGTCCTTCAGATGGAAATTGTCATCTTCCCATGGTATCTCCCCATGTGAGCTCTCATAGATCCCCTTCTTATAGGACAGTAGTCATATTGGATTAAGAGCCCATCCTAGTGACCTTACAAAGGACATCTCCTTAAATTTGGTTACATTTTGAGGAATTGAGTGTTAGATTCCAACTTCAGAATTTGGGGAAACAGTTTATCCCTGCTCCTCTTCCTGCTCAAGGGCTCCTCTGAGGAGTTCCATCATCGAAAGTGCTTTTCTCCTCCAGACCTTGTCTTCAGAATTCTCACTTGAGCACTTTTGCAACTAGCCAAATATATTGTATTTCCAACTTTAGCATCTCTGGTTTCACTTATATTAGCTGAAGAAAAAATGTCCACTATTGTTCATAGTATTTTCATTGAAAAAAATGTGTCGGTGTTAATTGTATCAAAATTGTTCTCCTCAGGTAGGGTTATATCAATGTAGTCATGAACCGTGTTTTTAAAAAGCATAGTTTTACCAGAAGAATTTAAAATAATCTCCCACAACCTTGTGGAGTGGCAGATTCTGACACAGCAGCTCCATTTAATACAAGAGAGAGCATAGGTCCATGGTGTTAGGATAGGTGTTTACCTTGGCAACCAGGGGTCTCACTTCATGGCTTCTTGCTTAATCAATCTGTCGTCCTGATTTTTATTTTCCAAAGAGGATTTTAACAACTCCATCAAAGGTAATTATTCCTGTTGATTTCATAATGAATTGATCAGCTTTACTATTTCGTTTACTTTTAGCTTAGAAGGCACCAGCTTGCTCCATAAGAGTTGTCTATGGTTTCTCTCCAGTGGCCAATTACATTTCTAAAAATACCTCACACCCTATTTATCAGATAGTTAAAACTACCCCCACAGTCTCCCTCTGGACTACAATAGAAATTAAATGTAGATTTAAAATCGAGTTCTTTTCCCTTCCTCTAAGAGGTTAAAAAAATCTCTGGCACTATTTGTAAAATCTGAGTTATCCTCATAATCATACAGCATCTAAAACATTCTTTTCATAGATATTCTTCATTTTTGGTACTTTCCAGTGCTGGGTTGTCCATGGAGACAGATGAGGTCGCTGCCGTGGGGGCCTCCAGGTGTCCCCAGTAAGTTGTAATTTAAATGACCAGAAAGGAAAGAGAAAAGTAACAAAACAGAGTTAGTCAAAAACTTTCTAAGGACTGTTACTAAATAGATAATGAAGATTTATGTGGGATGACTCCTAGTTTTTTTCCTTTTTATGTAAATTAGAAACCGTCTTATTTTATATATCAATCCCAGTTCTCTCTCCCTCACATTCTCCCATACCCCCCACCGGCCACCATCCCATCCCTCTTCTGCTCCATAGAAAGGGTGGGGCCTTCCATGGGGATCATCAATGTCTGTCACATCATTTGGGGCAGGTCCTAGGGCCACCCCCATGTGTCTAGGCTGAGAGAGTATCCCTTTACAGGGAATGGACTCCCAATATCCATTCGTACACTAGTTATAAATGCTGTTCATTACCAGGGGCCCCATAGGCTGCCCAGGCCTCCCCCAAGTGACACCCACATGCAGGGGGCCTGGATACATCCTATGCTGGTTTCCAAGATGTAGTTTTCATAACCAGATGCTTTCAAAAATTCACTTAGGAATCAATTATATGACAAGAAAATTTGAAATGTTTGAATTTAAAAGAATACTTTTAAAAATTGGGAAAAAGTGTTGGACAGGTTTCCTTTTCTCATAATGTTATAAAGAACACACTGATAACTATGTATAGCATACATTTGTGTGATAAGAAATAGCAACAGGATGCAAGCATTCTTTTGATGATATTTTTTTTTTAGGTTTTTTACGAGACAGGGTTTCTCTGTATTGTTTTCTAGGCTGTTGGTCCAGCCCAGCCTCGAACTCACAGAGATCTGCTTGCCTCTGCCCCCCTAGTGCTGGGATTAAAGGCGTGCACCACCACAGCCTGGCTTTTTTTGATGGTAATTTTGATTAGCACACAAAGCAGTGACTTTCATTGCCACATTCTCTCCTATATCCCTATGCTCTGCTCATATTTGGCTTTCACTGTTCTCTCTGGCCATCACACTGGGTACAAACCTGGGAAAACATGTTCTTAAAGTAACATATGACTCTTTTTTGCAGTGATTGCAATAGCAACAGAAATTCCATTGCCTCCTTCACGAGTATCTGCAGCAGCCAGTGCAGTTCCTACTTCCACAGTGATGAGATGGACTCAGGTGCGTGTGGTAGACGGTCTGTGCTCTTTGATGCCAGCAAGAGCACAGGTGCCTGTAAGAAGGGAATTAATGCCTTTGATACACGTGCATTTTCAGTTTTATTAGTCATTCTCAGTGGCCACCTGTATTGCATTGTGACTGATAAAGCTAGTTTCCGAATGCCAATTATTGGAAGAGTGCATTTAAAAGTATCCTTTAAGGTATGGCTTCTGATCTTCCTGTTCCTTGGGAAGGGCTGTAGGTACACTGGAAATATGTTTTTACCATAGCGCTGGGCATGGATGCTTGGGTGGAGGTGTGAGAAATCACCTCAGCCTGAGGATGGTTTTTGGAAGGCAAGGGAACCTTGTATTTAGTCAACTGGGACAGGGACGTCAGGAAAACACACATTGATGCTGTTTGCTTTATGCTCCTTCCCACGAGGGTCGTGGCTCTGGACCGTTTCAGCAGCATGACCCAGCTGACTGTTTTGCTCTGTGAGACCTGATACAATTCCTTTTCTGATGTGAGATAGAGTTCACTTTTAATTGCTCATAATTTATCAAATAAGAGAATATTTCAACCAGTTAAAAATAAGGTGAAGGTTTTTGGCTTATCTTTTTGTTTGTTTGTTTCATATAGGTGATGAGCTCCCTATCAGCATCCGGATATCTCATGATAAACAGGATAAGATACACGCGTGCCTGGAGCAGCTTTTCAGTCAGGTGTGATGGGGCTGCTGTGGGTCTTTCGTGGAGATGTAAAGAGCTAGGAAGGAGAGTGTAATTGGTCTCTTGATCTCCTTTTCTTTAAAAGAGGCGACTAAGCTAAAGGGTTCTTGTGAATACCAAGTATTTTACAGAAAACTGTATGGCAAACTAAAAAAAAACTATATATATGGGACAAACGCTTTTGACTATTTGTGGGATGACTTAATGTTTCCTTGCACCTTGCTTAATGTTATTTCTAGTTTCAAAAACTACACAGTTGTCTGGCTGTTCATGTTTGGACTTTGCTTTTACAAAATGTTTCATGATCATAGTGAAAATTTTATATTATATTTAGCACTTTGGAAATAACTTTTTTTAATGTTCTGAACTTTCACTTTCTTTTGTGAAGTAAATTTTTATTTTGTATCTTTTTATCAATTATTGTAAATTTCTATGAAGAACTGGAAAGATTTGAGTGAAAATATGAATTGATTATAACATTTTGCTTAAAGATAAGCTCCTTCAACATTGTAGGTTTTCAAAAACATGTATATAAGAAAAGTATTTTATAAGATATATCTATGCACATGTAAATAAATATATACCCATATATCCCTATATATTATGTATTATCAATGTCTGTAACACTCAGAAATCTACTCTTGATAGATGGATTCCATAACCAACCTCTTGAAAGGGCAAGCTGTTGTAAGGGCCTTTGACCAAACCAAGTATTTCACACCAGGTCGAGGATTACAAGGTATGTTTGAAATAAATATGAAAGGATAGCATGCAATAGGCAATACAGTACTCAAGCAAAAATATTACAGAAGAAAAAAATTTCTGTTGCTTTTGTTCCTCAATTCTCCAAACTCTACTTCTGTTTGAATCATATGCATAAATGTTAAAATCAATATACTATCTTTTAAAAACTTCATATATCTTTGAAAGTTTAAAACACTTGAAAACTCTAGGGGCAAAACCAAAAAATGCATGAATTAAAACACAAAAGACTTAAGTTGCTTTTGCAGTAGAGTAAAATCTACCTGGTCATATCCCATGGAGGGGAAGGGTCTCAGGAGTGCTGAATCAGCAGATACGGCTCAGGAGACAGAGCATAGCACTGTTCTGTTCTCTTCTCGAGTCTCTTTTATGGTATTTAAAACACAGTTTCCTCCTATATCTCCTTCCTGGGTGGAATCCATATAAGAAAATAATGTTAAGCTTTGATTTTTAGATTTAACTCACTATCTGTTTATACTTCACTAAGAAATTATTAACTCTGTTCTAGAATGGTCCAAATGGACCAAAACAAGCAAATTCTGAAGCCAGTGGGCTTAACTGAGGATTGATTGTGACTTACAAGAGATTTGCTGTATCTGTTTAGAATTTCAACAGGAAATGGAGACAAAGCTGAGTTGCCCGAAAAGATTGAGGCTTCATCTCAAGCAGGATCCTTGGAATCTTCCCAGCAGCGTCCGGGCTCTTGCACAGAATATTAGAAAATTTGTGGAAGGTCAGTATGAAAAGCAAAGAACATTGCCTGATATCAGCAATAATCCCTTAGAAAGCCAGTAAAAGCAGAAGTCTGGTAATGCCCCATTACTTTCTGAAGTGATTCCATTCTGAATAAAATGAAAGGAACACAGTGAGTGAGGAATGAGGAGATATACAAGGAGTAAGCCTGCAAACACTGCAGACTGTATCATGGAGAATATTCTGAGAGAATAAAGTAGGACTTGTACATAGACAGTCGTATCTAAACTCATCATCTAATCTTATAAGATATTTTTCACTTCAAATTTGTAATTGTGGTCCAATCCTAGTGTCTTAATGAGATAATTAGTTATGTTGTTCATTTTCTGATATATTTCGTTACTGGCACTATGCCCACATATGTTCCTTCTCTCTGGTGGTCTAAACTTAAGATTCTATGAAGTATTTTGTCATTGTAGATTCTATATCAGCTTCGAGGTTGCAGTAATAGCACTCTTTGTGTATATACAGCACTTTAAAAAACTTGGAAAGACCTTACATATACTCATTTTTTCTGCACAGGCCATTGTATAGGTAAAGTATTTATTATCACCCATGAATGAGCTGAGACTAAAAGTAATTAGTAAGTTTTCTAACTCCACAGAGCTAGAGTATAACAAATTGGTTCCCAGTTATGTTTTCTTTTTTCTGAAATCCTTTTGTTTTTGCAGCCTTGTTTGTAAACTCCAGTGCCCTTTAAAGTATTGCCTTCTTTTTGATCAGCTAGTCGACGCCCTCTCTTTGACACCTATAATACATAGAACAGGGTGATTTGTAACCCTTTTTTTTCCATCCCGTAATCTTGATTACATGGAAGGAACTCTTTGCTATTGGAAGTCGGACACAGTGATAAGTATGAAATTAATATATACTTGTTAAATATTTGTGGTTGGTCATGTGTAGGATGGAATAGTAGAGTATACTAATATACATTAATACATTTTTATAGAGAAATATTAGTCATAGTAGCAAGTATTATTATTTTACAGCTTAGCAACACAGTTTATAATCCATAAGTAAGGCAATAGCTAACAAGCTAAAGAGGCCAAGGGTTATGTAGAACTGGGAGGTATTTGAATGGTGTTCTATTGTGTCACTCAAAACTGAAAGACATTCTAGCATGTTGAACAGTTATTAACATTTATCTAAGCAGATGGGAAAAAGAAGAATGTCAAGAATGGCATTTTGATTACCTAATATAAGAAGACCATGGTAATTTTTATTACTAGGATACAATACCATTTGTGTTGCAGAACCAGAGTGGACAATTGATACTTGTGCTTTCTTTCTCTGCAGAGGTAAAGTGTCGGGTAATACTGGCTCTCCTTGAATACACAGGTAATGTCTTGCCCTAGTTTTACTATCTGAAGCAATGTGACCAGGTTCATAAAAGTCTGAAAATAGGAAATCAATGCCTTCTGCCACTTGGAGAGATAAAATGGGTCTCTGACATCTGCCTTCTCTAAAGTACCAGAAAGACTTTTTAAAATGTATTTAAGGGTTTTAATAAGAGAACAAAAACTTAAGCTCATTTTTATTGTAAGTACATATGAAAAAACATATAAACACATATTAAAATCATCTCATAACTAAGAGAAACAGAAAGCTGGGCATTGAAGCACAGGCAAGCAATCCCACATTTGGGAAGCAGTAAGGAGGAGCATTAGAGGGAGATTCAGACTTCTCCTGGCTTGCACACCAATACCTCCTCTAAACAAAACAAGGAGAAACTGTGTAGGTCATGGTAAAGGGAATAGTTTGTGTATGGATATGCGGTTTATCATGAAACCATCTAATTGTTTACGATGACCAGGAATTATGTAAACATTTTATAGATCTTACATTAAAGCACTTCTGCTGTGCATTTAGTAGGCATGCAACATAATTAGCGATGACACTAAAGGATAATTAAACATTTGATCAAACTCTACATTAAAGATGGTAGGTCATTAGCTTCCTCAAAGCAAGCACTACTTATTTTTATCATCAACAAAAAACTAAAGTGGTAGCTGTTACAATTGTTCATTGAACAGATGTTGTAAGAAAGAGTGATGGTCTGAGAATGTAGCTCCATTGATAGAATGTTCATCTAACAGCCAGGAAGCCCTTGGTTGCATGCCCAGCATAGTGTGATGGCACATACTCCTAAAGCCAGCATTCAGGAAGTAGATATTGTGAAAGCGTGTAAGAGCCCAGCATTGTTGGCATACCATGGCACCTAGAGGCAGCTTCGAATACAGCAGTGGAGACAAGACCTTTACTGGCTTGTGCCTTATTTATTTACTTTTTTAAGATTTAAGAGCTAGATTCTCACTCAGTTGTCCAAGTAACCTTGAACTCTTGAGTTGAAGTGATCTTCCAGTCTCAACCATTTGAATATCTGTGAAATGCTGCTATACCTGTCTGGGGATTTTCCTTTTGAAAGTAGGACTTTCAAAAAATATTGCAAGTACATAGATGCAGGTAGGGTAGTTTATGACAGTTTTAGAGCCTACCAAACTTGGAACTTTTTGGTGTTGAATGAGTAGAGTTAACCAAAGGAGCTTTGGGTTAGTTGATTGATTGGTTTGTGTCTTGTTCTTTGATTAATAACAGTAACAACAGCAAAAAAACCCTTACATTTTTGAACTATTCTAAAGACACATTTCATAGATTCATCTTTATAAACTCCATTGGGGACTATTGTTTACACAGTTTTAAAGGAGAGTAAGTATGTTCTGAGAGAATAATAATAACTGGTAGATGGTGTTCATTCAACTCAGATCTTGTATATCATGAGAATTCACCAAAATGGGCCCCATTGAATAAATTTAAGAAATAGCAAAAATCACTTTTGAATTTCAAACTCAGTTTCTCCAGTTCCAAAAGTGACCCTGGAATGCACAGCTTTCTTAAGTGTTCAGATGGCTGCTTCAGCAGATGGTTGTGGTGTTTGTCTGTGCTTATGTGTTTGTTTTGAGATAAGGTCTCACTCATTTAGTCCACGATAGCCTCAAACTTCAGGATATGGTACAGTATCCCAGGGTACTGTGGATCCTCCTGGCTCAATCTCCTGTGGTCTGGGATTGCAGGCAGGTGACACTACACCCAACTGACAGGAACTTCTCTCTCTCTCTCTCTCTCTCTCTCTCTCTCTCTCTCTCTCTCTCTCTCTCTCTCTCTCCTACCTATTGTTTTTTTCGTTAGCCTCTCTTCCTGTTTATATTTGTAATTATATTTAAACAGTAATTGAATTATGCCATCATTTTGGCTATGTAACTATATTTTTCATTAGAAAAGGATATACCGTGTACTATTTAACCCTTTTGTTAATCTTTTAGAAATATTCCATATTTTTTTAGAAGCCAAAGATAAAAGTTTATTTCTCTGGTTTTGGGCCTTTAGGGGTTTCTGATAGTTGTGTGTGTGTGTGTGTGTGTGTGTGTGTGTGTGTGTGTGTATATGTGTGTGTTGTTTTTTGAGAACTTTATACATGAGCACACTTATCACTCCCTCTGCTCCCCCTTTCAAATCCTATGTACCACCTCCTAAACTCAAAATCTTCTTTTGCATTATTATTGTTGCATGCATCTATCTATGTAAACTTACACACATACATATAACCTCTTGAGTCCTTTTAGATTATATAAATGTACCCAGGGCAGACCACTTGGTATTGGACAACCTGTGTGGGTGCTTATCTATAGAGGAGATGGCTCCTCCCTCTCTAGACAGCCATTGACCAGCTGTATCATTACTATCATTCCTAGCCTGGGAAGTCTTTGTTTTCATCTCTCTTTGTTTCTCTTTCCCCTACCATCTCTGTGTGAGTATTATGCCCATCAGTATTTCTATGTATCTCTGTGTCCCCTTCTGTGTTCTTTTTTTTTTTGAGCAGCAAATTAAAGCATTTAAACTTAAAAATAGCAGAGATTACATGAATTTGTTGGGTGTTTATAGAAGATGAGTGTATTAGGAACTGAAATATTAAAAGGAAATTGCTGAAGTTCTTCTGTTTTATTTTTATTTTTTATAAGATGTAGAAGTGAGAAGAGCTTTGGTATAGAAGGACAATGGGGAATTTTGAATGACTGCATAATCTAAAGGAAAAGTATATATTTTTGCTGGCAGGAAACCGATTTTGGTTTGTTACTTTATCATGCAGTTATTTCTCTGCTCAGTAACATAAACAGGTTCCCATTCAGTGCCAAGCATTGCTAGGTGCTAAGAAAGAGTAGTTGCAGCAACAGGCCTATTTGAGTGCATTTTGTTAAGAACTATTTTGTTTCTAAAATCCTGTTTGTCTTTATTAGAGACCTAAGATGTAGGAAGTAGAAATGATTTGTCTTAGTTCTTCTTTTCTTGCAGGACTAGGGACTGAACCCAAGGCCTTTTTTGTCCATGTCATGGAAGCACTCTACTGCCGAGTTATATGACTAGCTCCAAATCCTGGGGCATAAGACACTAGCTGAGTGTTTATCATTTGCCTTTGAAGTCTATGGTATTCAGGTGACATACCACTTCTGGTCTTGAGGCACTGATGATCCAATGGGAAACAGACTCTCACATTGCTATCAATTATCCATCTTGGAGAGGGATGCCCGGGGTCTATGATGACAGAAATAAGTTCACCATTTTCTGGGACAGAAAAAATTTCAGAATTTTTAATATTTCAATAGTTCAAAGAGGTCTAATCTTTTAGTGCATTGACTGTTGAACACTAAGTTAAACTAGAGTTATCCTTAGATAAACTTAGTTATCCTTTCTATTAGAGGCTTAGAAACAAAATATGGGCTATAAGTCCATTTAGCAAGGCATTTCATGCTTGAGGGTACTGAACTTTACTGCATGGCTCAGTACAGGTCTGTACATCCACACTTCTTTGTTTTGTTACGGTTTTACAACTCTAAAAACCTTTCTGCATTGTGGGATGAAAGCAATGGAATAGGACATTGAGGAGCTGTGAATGTCATCTGGGATATATATCAAGTAGCTTGATGCTACTGAGTTTTCTAAGTTTGGTATTCATTGTGAAATGATAACTTTTTAAAAAGCTACTTGGAAAACTCTCCATTTACAATGTAGATTAAGTGTGTTTTGAAGTTCACACAAGTAAGTCATCTGTTCTCTGCTCAAAATAGTCAAGTGGTGACTATCACCCCATAAAGCAATGAGCATTTATTAAGGTTTTTTTAATTTAAAATTTCATTAGCTTAAATTTAAATGGCACTGTTGTCCAAGATACCTTGAACATCTACCTCTATTATGGCTAGAAATGTGCCCAAGGCTCTGACTGGGGCTCCTGCTACTCCAATAATTGGTACTAAGCTTCATTTTCATAGGATATTCAATGCTAAAATGAATCAGTGACCAAGAACAATGTGTATTTTGAAGAGTTATCAACACTTCTCTTGTGTTAGACTAGTGAATATTAATTGTAATCTTTTCCTATTAGATAATGATTGAATGAACATTGGTTTACATGTATATAAAATATAGTAAGAGAGAGGACATGACATGTCCAAGTATTGGGGAGATGTAAAAAGTAAAATTTAAGAGTTTCTTTTCAGAAGCACTGTAGATATCATTTTTTTTAACCAGAAAAACAGTTATTAACCCTTGTGATTTCTCTTCATGCTGATAAATGAGCCAGAGCCTTTCCTCCTTAGATGGTCGTTTCTCATTTTGGATATCACAGTTTCGTCCAAATTTTATTTTATTACATTATTCTCAAGTTATAGGTGGAACTATTCTGTAACAGCTACTGAGTGTTTTATAAAGTTTATCCAGGTTTTCTGCTTTGCTCTAGGATACCTAAAGACTGTCAAAAGCAGCATGGTCCACTCCTTATTTCATTTGTGAGCTCACAGGCTTTCTGAATTTGGCTCTTCCAAGAAGTCAGGGCATAAACTGATGCATTTCCATTCATTAGTGAGCACCCATGCCTCATTGTTTCTGTTCACTCCTTCAGTAGACAGTTGTTGAATGCCCACTCTGTTAGATTTGTACAGCTCAAAACATGTGTTTTGTTTCTTTCCTGGGAGTTCAATAAAGTTTATTCCAGTTGTCATGTTGGATAGACACCTACCAAATGTCTAGAACACAAGGTCAATGGTATAGAATTATTGGAAGGAGACATCTAACATTATTAGTTAAATTGATAAGCTTTAGGGAATTAGTGTATCCAACCCTTTTGATCTGCCAAAGGAGAACACTCATGTAGTTCAAACTAACACAGGAATATTTTAAATATAATATTGGATATTTTAATATTTAATCTTTTTTTCTAATAAAAATGCCAGGTAATGTTCCTAACATTAAAATTAATACAAAGCAACTGTATTGTGTGGAAACATGATTTTGATGGTTATTAAAAACAACTGTTCAGTGTTTTTGGTAAATGACTTAAAAATTGTGTCTCTATCAATAAATTGAGAATTCGATGTTGAAGACATCATTTATCTTTATTTTTTACACAACTACTGGTAGTAGGTATTCACTTCATAAGGTTCTTTAAGCCCTCAAAATACTCAGCCCACTTTGGCGGGGAGATTATTTTGCCCTATGTTCCTCTCCTGCACATGGATTTCACTGGCGTCTGTATTGGTGCCAGATGAGCCCTGGATATCCACCATCTTCTTTTATGAACAAGTCCTGCAGAAGCACGTCATAGGAAAAGTACACCTTCAAAGTTAGTTAGCCAAAATTCACTCAACTGTTGGATAGTACTTCTACTAAACATACTAAAATCAATTTATGCAAAAATTAAATTTATTAAGTATCAGGGAAAATATAGGCACCCCCAGTCTTATAAATGTATACATATTTACTACTCATGAAATTGAATGAGTTATTCTTAAGATGCAGATTTGGTTACTAGTTGGCCAACAAATACTCTTTTTCCACATGCATTAATATTTGAGTAGGTTTCAAAGGTGATTATTTTAAAATATTAGTAAATAATATTCAGTTTGTTAGCATAAACTGTGTACACTTTGAGCCTTTTTAGCAAATAAAAACATTGTGTCATATAAGGTAAAAATAAATAAAATAAGTTTTATATTTTTCCTCAGGTTTTTATATAATAAATTCATGATTATAAAATAGAGTTACAGTGTTTATGAAGGAATTTTTTAAAATTTTAATTTATATTTTTTGGAATTTTCATAATATACCTAATGTGCCTTGATCATATGTATCTCTCATTTCTCTACTCCAGCTCCCCCGGGTCCTCTGATCATCCCTTCTTCCCAATTTTATGTCTTCCTTGTTTATTTTATTATTATTGTTATCATCATCATCATTATTATTATCCCACTGACTTAAATTATTACTTTCCATATGTATATGGGCATAGGGTCATTCACAGAGAACCTACCTATGGCCACAACTCCTAAAAATGAACCTCTCTCTCCTCCAACAGCCATCAGCTGTCAGTAGCTTGTCATCTAGAGATGGGGCCTGGAGAGCCCTTTCCTCTTCCATGCTGGGAATTTGAACTGGCTTAGTTATGTACAGGTCTTCTGTATATGCTCACAACTTCTGTGAGTCTGCTGTGTACAACAGCCATGTCAAGTCCTGGGGACAGTATTTCCCAGCATAAGGAGACTTCTTTAAATATTTTGGAATATGCTAATATTTAAAGCTCAATAAAAGCTTATATAAAAGTTTTGTTATTAAAGAAACTCAAATTTACCCTTCCCCCTTAAGTGAGAAAATTAAACAGTAGTCTTGGTATATGCTTAATGATTCATTTTCAAGCTGGGTACAATGGTGCACCTTGAATCCTAGAACTTAGGAGACAGAGGCACATGAATCTCTGTGAGTTCAAGGCCAGCCTGGTCTGTCAAAATGAGTTCAAGAGTAGCCAGAGCTACACAGAGAGATCTTGTGTCAAAAAAATGACAACAAAAATTACATTAATGCAACTTGCTCAGTCTATATATTATAACTATATGCATATTTTAGGTGCTGATAATTTGGTATTGAATTGCCAATTGGTGTGCTCTTCCATGGGGAAGACTATGTTTCCTATTGTCATCATTCCTTAGTTGTCTGTAGTTCTTTGTGTAGAATTGAGGCCTCATTGGTTTTCCCCATTGACCATGGCATACCTATTGTTGTTTTTGTTCAGCAGATATTTAGGCAGTCAAATTGGTGAGAATTTGTGGGTGTGGTTTCTGATGTTAATAGAAGTCACAGTCTGACAACAAACACCTTGATCCTCTGACTCTTACTGTCTTTCTACCCCCTTTCCCAAGCCTTTGTGCAAGAGTTGTTAATGTAGATGTATCTATTGGGACAGAGCTCCACAACTCTGAATTTTGATTGGTTATGGTTTTCTGTAATATTTCCTTTGCTGCAAAGAGAAGTTTCCTTGAGGAGTAAATACTATACTTACCTGTGGGCATAAGGTTACTTAGAATGTAGTTAGGGATTATGTTGGGTTCATGAGGAGGAAGATTCATGTTTTTCTGCAAGACCCATGACTTCCCTGTTTGCTAGGTTTCCTTCAAGATGGTTGGATCTTAAGTCCAATCAGAAAGCTGTTGGTAAGTGCCAAAGTACATGTGCCACCCTTACAGTTATTGTGCCATGCTGGTGTGGTGTCTGCAACATTTTTTGTTCTATACTGTATTTTTGAAACAGGGTCTCTCTATGTATTCCTGACTGTTCTGGAACTCGCTTATAGACAAAGTTGGCCTTGAACTCACAGAGATCTGTCTGTGCTGGGCTTAAAAGTGTGTGCCATCACACCTGGCTACTGCAACATTTGAAAGCTTCCTTTGTGTTCTTTTCAATTGCAGATAGTGAAATCCAGCTCCGAAGAGACATGGTTTTCTGCCAAAGTCTTGTGGCCACCATCTGCGCCTTCTCTGAGCAGCTCATGGCTGCCTTAAACCAGATGTTTGATAACAGCAAGGAAAACGAGATGGAGACTTGGGAAGCCAGCAGACGGTGGCTGGACCAGATCGCAAATGCCGGTGTTCTTTTTCACTTCCAGTCACTTCTGTCACCAAATTTGGTAAGGTCTTATCATGCCTATTGTCTGTGTCAGCTGTAAACTACATGGCCACATACAAAGCAGTTGCTCATTTCTCCTCCTTATCTCTTTCATTATTTCCTTCATAGTCATTAGGCTATTTTAAGGGGATTTCCCCCTATATGGTCAGTCAGGTTTTAATAAGAATGATTTTTATCTCTTGTCTCTGCTGGGAGAGACTCCTGTGTTTGTAATTCTTAGATCCTTAAGCACTGACTAGAAAATCATGAGAGGAAAGTGGGTTTTTATAAACCCATTCAGGCTAGAGATAACAGATTCCCAGATATCTGAGCTCCCACTGACGCTGATAATCTGGGGTGTCTTCACATGGCAGCTGCTGTCCAGCAGACTGTTTAAATCTGCATGTGCTAAATAATGTCAGTGCGTCCTTTGGATGAGTGTTCTCCATTGGCAATAAGAGCACCAAGGCAACTGTGCAGGAGAAATTGCCATGCTGAAGCATGGGTAAAGGTGAAAAAAAGATCTTGAAATGTTGAAATATAGAGAACTTCAGAGCTTTTCATGTGACTTCCTGTAGACTTTCCTGCACAAATGTCTGCTTTTATGTACATAAACATTTTGAGGCTCGTTAAATGGAATTCTGACTTTGAATGTGAGAGTCTGTTTCATCTGCTAAAGTATAAGTGGAACATGTAGCTACAAAATAATTGTTTTAAAACAAATATAGATGCGTTATAATATCAAAATAGCATTTTTCATACTGTTGAGTATGGAGGTGATTGTTGTACTGTATCTTTCAATCATGAAAGATACTGGAATGATGAGGTAAGGGCATCCATCTAGTGTGGCCAAGAGACACAGAAGCAGATTTTTAGAAAGGACTCTATGCACTCTGTGTGGGCTATAAATTACTTATTTGGTTAATTTAAAGGAAGGCACTTTAGCCAAAGTGTTTAAAAACAAAAACCATAGCATATATCCAGTGTAAATAATGTATGATAGTCAGGCTCCTTCCTAACATAGCAGCAGTGTTTGTTTTAGAGTGAATGGATGAGTGCAAGAGTGAGATTTGTTTTCTATTTTATGTTCTGTATTTAGTCTTTGATATCTAATCAATTGCTGCTGCTTTAAGTTTAATTTTATTTGAAGTCTCCAAGATTAGGAGAAAATATTTACAGATCATTGAGGCAATAAAGTATGTAGATTAGAATATACAAAGAACCTTCAAGACTAGTGATTTTTAAGATGACCTAATTTAAAAGTGGGAAAAGGATTGGAGTAGCTACTTCCCTAGAAGATTTAAAAATGGCCAATAAGCACATGACAGATAGTACTAGCTGCTGTTAGAAAAATGGAACTCAAAACACAGAGAAAGAGCCCTCTCCAATAACAAATGTTGGTGAGGAGCTGTAGTCATTATAATCCTCAGAAATGAGTCACAGGAATGTAAAGTAATGCAATGCCTTTGGAAAACAGTTTGCCACTTCTTTAGGACATTAGACATAGTTTTGTATTCCTGAAATTCTAGTCCTTAGGTTAATACCCAATGGAAACCTAAACTTCTATTCAATTAAGAACTTGTGATAAATAGTCATATCAATGTTATTAAAAATACATGAAGACTGTTAGCAACTCATGTGTTCATCCGTGGGTGGCTGGTAAGTTAAGAGCTATGTCTCCTATAATAAAATCTTATTCAGGCATAGACAATTTGTAGTACTGATGAATGCTAGATTGTACATAAATCCTACAAGCATGGTCTTAAGGAAACTAGCCTGACAACAAAGAGCAGTTTGTTTCCATTGTGATGAAACCTGTTGAGTGGATACATTTCAGTGATCAAAGTAGACATGTGACTGCCTGGAGCTAATATCTCAGGTAGATGCCCACAGGAGAATGCTTAATGATGCACGGTTTCCTTGGGAGGTAAAGAAAATATTCTATAATTTCATGATGACAGGAGTGGCTCAGCTCCAGATGCACTGAAGATTCTGAACTGTGTACTTTGCCTGAGTGAATTACATATTCTGTGTGTTATATATCACAATGAAATTGTGCTCTTCTTAAAAACCTGACCTTGTGAAACCTTTAAATTTATTTTAATAACTGATTTTCAGTCAGAGTTTACTGGAAAAAAATAATGAAACCTCTGTATTGAGAACACAAAGCCCTGAAAATGTACATACAAATAGCATCATACAGACAAGTATAAATATATATATATTTGCATGCAATAATAATTATTGAATGAAGAAGACATGAATTTGTAAATGAGTTGGATGGGGTACATGGGAGGGTCTAGAGAAAGGAAAAGAAAAAGAGGAATGTTGTAATTAAATTATAACCAATAAATGATGAAAACCAACAACAAGCTTACTGGTGACTATGGTTCTCTGAAAATTGCAGTCACCCTGGACTGTGCATCCTGGAGCTCTAGACACAGCCAGCTGTTACCTAGTTCTGTCACTGCCACTGAAACAGCATGACTCACACTGCAGTGTTCAGAGGCTGAGATGTCTGGAACATTTCTCCTAACTCTTCTCATTGGCATCAGAAAAATGGTGGTGTGTTTTTTCAGTTCTGCCATAAACTTCCAGGCAATAGGTACTTTTCTACTTCTTCACAAGGAGTTTAGGAGGCTTGGGATGCAGCTCAGTGAGTAAGAGCTCTTGTGTGTGCTTGAGGGCCTGAGTTGGAATCCTCTGCATCCGCATTTCACATTAAAGCCCAAATCAAACAAACAAACAACAATAACAAAACTGTTGGTGCCTCCTTGAATCCTGTAGCTCTAATTCTGTAGTAGGAAGAGACAGGAAGGAGGGAATCTAGGACTTGCTAGTTGGTCTAGCTCCAGATGCAATAAGAGACCTTGTCTCAGAGATGAAGAGTGATAGGACCAAATATGTGGCATCAGCCTCTAGCCTCCGTGGGGTTATATACACTCACACACTTGTGTGCATGTCTCAGTGACATCAACTTTCTAGTGCTTACACATGGCCTTATTAGCAGTTAATAACTACATTCTCTACAGAGTGCTTAGGCTCATAATGATGACACAGTTAACCTTACACATAGAAGTTATCTCTTAATAGAGCATTATGTTTTAGTTTTTAAAAATAATTTGCTTTGTGTACATTGGTGTTTTGCCTGCACAGATGTCTGTGTGAGGGTGTTGAATCTGCTGTAACTGGAGTTACAGACAGTTGTGGGCTGCCATGTGGGAATTAAACCTGGGTTCTCTGGAAGAGCAGCCGGTGCTCTTAGCCATTGAGCCATCTTCCCAGCCCCAGTCCTTGTTTTCTTACTAACATGAATTAGCCTTTAAACAAGTTGAATATGCTTCACACACTTCAACAAGTTTCTCAGGCTTATTGTAAGCTGAAGCAGGATGAGTGCATGGAAAGTGCTTCTAAAGAATCATTATTTTATCACAGGAAATCTCATTATAGAAAAGAAACAAGTGGTTGAAATGAGTTGAATTGCTTATTCATACTCTAGACTAAGGACCTCACAAAGCTAGTAAGGTGCGCGTGATGTTTGTGTGTGCATTCTTTGGAACACAAATACATCTATACATGGAAATTTCTTTTATCATTTCTAATAAGCAGTCATTGAACAATGAATACATTATTATAAAAATGGATGGCTGTGATTTTAACTTAATAATAAAAATTCTTTCTGTTTCTTAGCTGTTACTTTATGAGCTTTTAGAAGGAAAAGGCCAAAAGCATAGATTATTTGTAAATGAGATCATTACAATTAGATTCTATTTATAAGCTAGACTGAAAATTTGTGTATAATCATTTAAATATTAAAAAAATACAAAGCCAGAAAAGGATAAAACCATACAATGAACATGTCTCTCTGTAGGACTTGATTTCATTTTGGACAGGGAATTCTCAGGGATTTTTTGGCACTAGCGTTTTCTATGAAATAAAACCGAAGTGAAGTGATTCTGCTTTGGATTTATATTGCACCATGGGATCTGATGGCACATCATCCAGCCACCTTATAGATTCTTTCTCTTAATTGTAGAAAGATGAACAAGCCATGCTAGAGGATACACTGGTTGCTCTATTTGATTTGGAAAAAGTTTCCTTTTTCTTCAAACCAGCAGAAGAGGAGCCACTGGTTGCAAGTGAGTAACTATGTGTGTATAGAGTGTTTCTGGTAGCAGATGATACTGACTTTTCATTTGCATATAGTTGCATGAAGGGTTCTCTTTGAACCATTTTCTAACATTAGTGCTGACAGAAGCTGTATTTTAGAAGTCATACTTGTTATGTAGTGAACCCATAGATTAATGTTCATGTTTTTTTAATTTTTGCAAATTACCATCATTATTCTATGATTTCAACATTGTCATAAATGTTTAAGAAGATGTCTACCAGTCCAAGAAATCTTCAGTTTATTTTTGAAGACAGTTTTCTGTGCCTCCTGTTTCTCACAAGAGACAAGTGTAGTCAGAGATGGGAGGTGTTCTTCTCCCTCTCATTGACTAGTATGAGAGACTCTATAAGTGCTTACTTCATATCCATGGTTTGAGAAAATAATGATAATTCTTCATTTATCTCATCAAAAACTTAATCTGAATGTTTACTTCTTGCCATTTCTGTTCTGGGTATCAAGTTCAAAGGAGTACTGAGCAGATCGAGTCTTCTTCTGTGGGTTATAAATTGAAGTGAGGAAAGAAAATGACAGGTCAGAAAACCAGATTAATTTGGTATTGTTAAAAGCAACAATAAAGTCTATCAGAATATAAAGATTAAGGAGCAGAGTAAAGGGTGGTCTTCATAGGGCGGGGAGGTCCTCTAGTCTAAGAGCACAGGTTCCTGAAGGGGCTAAGAGAGAGAGAGTCACAAAGGTATTGGGAGACGTGTATGTCAGACTTCTTTACCTCTCAGTAAATATCAACACTCTTTCTATTACTTTATGAAGATAGAGAGTATGGAATTGTCACTAATTTTCATTCCCACTTATGAACAAGAAAAAGCAAGAATATGAAGGTGTAAATTGGTGATACTCAAAAGAGAATTGTTATCTGGAAAGAGGTGGTAAATTTTGATTAAAAACAAAATTTTAGATAACTTTTGAGGTTTCTACTTTTGTATACAGAAGGCCATACAGTTTCATTTGAAGGCAGTAGTTATAGTTTTGCTGAAGGCTAAGAAAACAATTCTGTGATGTCACTTAATTTTCATTCTTGAAAATGCTGCTTGAGGTGCTATAAGCCCTCAAGAGCATTCATTGTCCTCTTTGTTTTCAAAACTTCATTTTTGACAACTGAAAAAGCAGAGGAGTCACAATGATGAGCTCTGTGAGTGATTTTTTCCTTTTTTTTCCGGTCCACAGTAAGAGACATTGATGTTTTGGATACATTCCAAACATTAAAGGTGATTGTAATCCTCTAAACAAAAAGTTAGGGTTTAAATATGGCTGTGCTCATGACAAAGCCCTCACGGTGGTTGTATTTAGCAATGTGCTTTATGCTTCCTTTTGAAGCATAGCCTGGACTTCTGAAGATAATTGTCTAGTAAGGTACCAGTTTCAATGCCACATGACTCCACCATTAAACAAAAAATAAAGAAAGAGCAGCCATTGTGAACTTGGGAAAGGAGTTGACACAACCATTCAGAAATAAAGTGTGTCAGGAGAAAAGCCTAGAGACCACGATTGAGTCTTGAGTGGGAAAGCAATGGTTAGAGGGGTATGATACCATTAAAGCAACATAACCTGGACTTTAAAGGGAAGAGAAACTTCCTCTTAAAACTTAGAGGAGCTTCATTTAGAGATAGTTTAGTCAGGTACATGCCTTTAGCCCCAGAGCTCTAGAGGGATAGTCTAGGGAGATGGATTTCTGTGATATATATGTTTTATTTAAATTAGAAACCATCTTATTTTACATATCAATCCCAGTTCCTTCTCCTTCCCATCCTCTCATACCTCCCCAAGGACCCTCCATCCCATTCCCCATACACTATCCAGGGAGGGTGAGGTCTTCCATGAGGGATCATTAAAATCTGTCAAGTCATTTGGGGCAGGGCCTAGTTCCACCCCTGTTTATCTAGGCTAAGAGAGTATCCCTCTGTGGGAAATGGGCTCCCAAAGTTCAATTGTATACTAGGGATACATCCTGGTTCCACTGCCAGAGGCCCATAAACTGCCCAGTGCTCCTACTGACACCTACATTCAGGAGGCCTGGTTTGGTCCTATGTTGGTTCCCCAGCTGTCAGACTGGGATCTGTGAGTTCCCACTTTCTTAGGTCAGCTGTTTCTATGGGTTTTCCCTTTGTTCATCACTCCTCCTTCTCTGAAACTGGATTCCAGGAGTTTGGCTCAGTGCTTGGCTGTGGGTCTCTGCTTCCATCAGCTATTGGATGAAGGCTCTAGGATGGCATTTAAGGTAGTCATTCTCATTACAGGGAATGGGCATTTCTTTTAAGCCTCATTTACATAGTGAGTGTGAAGCTAGCCAGTCACAGTGAGAAGAAGTAAGATAAAATTACCATGAGAGGAAAGGTTTGAAGAGAACAGAAAAGCTTTCAGAATAACCCCAGAAGAAAGGGTAGTATCTGGCTTTTATACGTCGGGGGTGGCAAGAAGTTTTACACCATGCAGTTTCATCTGGGATAGCATGCTTGACATAGAGTATGGAGGAACTAGATACCAGTTAGAACCATAAATCAAGATCCATAAAACCGTAAAGACATAAAGAGAAGCCTCCTTAGCTTTGTCCTATGGAGAGAGCTGCAATGTGCATTCATCCTATTAGACTATGGGGATCTAGTTTCTTTTTAAAGGGGTAGGCCATGATGTAACATCGACTTTCCTAGCAAGTTCAAAATGATGATTGGAGAGAGTTCTTACCGTGAAATCTGAGTCAATACCTGAGTTCCATCAAGCTTTACTTAAATGGTATAAGAAAGTTAGAGCTTGTTAAAATGTATGGCAGGCAGTTTCATCTTTCCAGCTGTGTAGTAGCAGATGCATCAGAATGGTTAATAAAGTCTGCATGACTGATATAGAGACAGGCTGGCTGCATGCCTCTGGAGGGAGGGAACAGTGGGGAGAGAAGGAATTATAGCTGGAAAGAAAACATTCACTTTGATCTAGAACCTGAGTTCAAATCCTGGATCCATTCTCATCTATCAGTTTGTCAGCAAAAATACTAGCTTTCCCCAGCTCAGAGCTGGGTGGTTTAAATAGATATTTTTTGAAATCCTCAAGTGTTACATGCAGCTCCCAGTTGTAATCAGTATGTGCAATCACTCCCTTATACTTGCTTTTGGTCTAGTAATGATAAAATGTCTCCTTTATCATGATGACATAAACTTAAGGTAGATACTGGAAAAATGAGTTTTTGTGAGCCCCCACTATCTTCGTATGGGCCAACTACTGTGTCTGGAGCTACGGAAATAGACACGAGCCTGTTATGGCTAAGATGAGACACAATAAGTTAGCTACAGAGGTAGGATGTGATAAACCCTATGAAGAAATAAAGATGTATAAGCCAAGATGGTGTTGTGGCCTCTTCAGGGATGACTGGAGAAAGCTTCCCATAGAAGCGTTTTTAAACTGATCTGAAGGAAGCAAAGACTTGGACAGGATTAGAGAGAGGCAATCCAAATAGGCTTAACTATCAACTTTTAAATTAAAACTTACTCACAAAGACTTTTATCCCATTCATCGATTTAGTGTCATATCTAAAACATCATGGCTGTTTTCTAGGGCCAGTCGCCATAGGATGTTCCTAGACCTTCCCTCACAAAGCTTGATGGTCCCAAGCTGTTGATCACTTACTTTCCTCTCAAAATAAATTTGTTTTCTAGAGAAGATGACCTTTCACAAGTGAAAAGGTGGTGGGTTTTAGTTCCATATCACTATTGATGTTCCAAAACAGTTTTATAGTTTCCATATTTTGTGTTTTCTAGAGAGACATTAATTGTTTGATTTAGTAAATTAAAAATGGGTTTCTCAATTGAAGTTTTAAAGGAATTCCCTTTTCATGATTGGGAAAATCTTTTATTTCCAATTGTTAAAATTAAGAACCAAAACAAAAAAACACATTAAAAAAACAAAACAAACAAAAACAGACATGGTGGTTTACATTTGCACTGGAAGACGGTAGAGTTGCAGCCTAACTTGTCCTACAGAGAAAGAAATCAGGAAAGAGGGGGAGATGTAGATATGGAGATAGAGACAAAGCTTGTCATTCGTGTGTAAAGGGCTTTATATCAGTTCCGGAAAGCAAGTTTGGAGTGCTAATGTTGAACTAGAAAGATGGATTAAGTGTTTGCTATGTTTTGCTTTAATTTTAAACTAGTTAGTATGAGTATTCTGAGTATTTTCAGAATGTTTTTAACTTCTTTTTTATTGAGTAGAAATATTGTGGAGTCATGTAGAAGGGAAAGGATTTGCAGCTGCATTGTAAAATACTTCTACAGTGTTTTAGCCGTTCAGTTTGGCTGATTTTTTTAAAAAACCATTAATTTTAGGGTATTTAAAAGTAGCTACAAGAATTTGGAAAGATAATTCCTAATGGTCATAAGGTATCCTCAACAGAACGCAGTTCATTTTAACATATTACTCAAGGAGCAGAGCTTACAAAACCCATGTTCATTTTGTTAATGGTTGTTATGCAGTCCATTTTCTCACATACTACTTAAGAAGTGTACTCTGTGGGCTCATTTTGACTAAATATGAATGAGGCAGCTGCCCTGAGAAATCCTCATTTAGTTAAGTGAGACATCTGGTGTGTCAAAGTGTAACCAGGATTCCCATTATGGAATTTGATTTTCAGCTCAGTAATAAACCTACTTCTTTAGCTAGTGGAACTCTGGTGCAGTACTCTTTACAGAACAGCACTTTGTGGATCAAGAGGGACTAATGTAAAATGTAAGTGTTCAAGTTCTGAGGAGAAAGGCTTCCCTAATGCAAGTCTGGCAGCTCTGAGGGGAAGGGTATCCTGGCAGTCAGTAGCCAAGGAGTACCACAGAGTCACAACACAAAAAACCTCACACAAGAGATTATTGGGAAAGACACAAGAGAGGGGCTGCCTCAGCTTGGGCAAGAAGCAAAGCGGAGCTGAGCAGGAGGCAGGCTATTATAAGGTTTCTTGTGCAGCAGAGGGATCTAACTTTTCTGAGCTTGTGGATTGTAGGCTGGTTATATTTTGCTGTATGTCTGGTATTCACTTACAAGTGAGTACATACTTCATTTGTCTTTCTGGATCTGTGTTACTTCAGACAGGATATTTTTTTCTAGTTTTGTTCATTTGCTTGCAGATTTTAAGATGTCATTGTTTCTTATTGCTGAGTAGTACTCCATTGTGTAAATGTGCCACATTTTCTTTATCCATTCTACAGTTGAGAGGCATGTAGGTTATTGCCCAGTTCTATTACAAATAATGCTTCTATGAACAAATTGAACAAATGTCCTTGTGATATGAGTGTGCTTCCTTTGTGTGTATGCCCAAAAGTGGTATTGCAGAGTCTTGAGGTAGACTGATATCTAGTTTTCTGAGATATGGCTATACTGATTTCCACAGTGCCTGTACAAGTTTGCACTCCCACCATCAATGGAATAGTGTTCCCCTTTCTCCCCATCCTCTCCTGCATAAGCTGTCATCAGTGCTTTTGATATTAGCCATTCTGATTGGTTGTAAGATAGAATCTCACAATTGTTTTGATTTGCATTTCCCTGATGACTAAGGATGTTGAGCATTTTCTTAAGTGTCTCTCAACCATTTGAGATTCTTCTGTTAAGAATTTTCTGTTTAAGTTTGTATACTATTTTTTAAATTGGATTATTTGGTAGTTTGGTGCCTAGTTTCTTGAGTTCTTTGTATATTTTAGAGATCAACCCTCTCTCAGATATGGGGTTGGTGAAGATCTTTCCCATTCTGTAGGGAGTCTTTTGTCTTGTTGACTGTGTTCTTTGATTTATGGAAGCTTCTCAGTTTCAGGAGGTCCTACTTCTTAATTGTTGTTCTCAGTGACTATGCTATTGGTATTATATTGAGGAAGTGGTCTCCTGTACCAATATGTACAAGTGTATTTCCCACTTTCTCTTCTATGTGGTTCAGTGTTGGCAGATTTATGTTGAGGTCTTTGATGCATTTGGACTTAAATTTTGTGCATGGCAATAGGTATGGTTCTATTTGCAGTCTTCTACATGTTGACACCCAGTTATACCAGTACCATTTGTTGAAGATACATTTTCCATTTTATATTTTTATCTTCTTTGTCAAAAATTAGGTGTTCATAGGTGTGGGGGTTAATATAAGGGTCTTTGATTCAATTCTATTGGTCCACCTGTCTGTTTTATGCCAATACCAAGCTGTTTTCATGACTATAGCTCTATAATAGAGCTTGAAGGGAGAGATAGTGATGCCTCCAGATATCTCTATTGTACAAGGTCCTTTTGACTATCCTGGATTTTTTTGTATGAAGTTTACTATTGGTTTTTCAAGATCTGTGAAGAATTGTTCTGGTTTTGATGGGTAATGCATTGAATATGTAGATTGCCTTTGGTAGTATTACAATTTTTACTGTGTTAATACTATCTATCCACGAGCATGGGAGATCTTTGCATTTTCTGATATCCTTTTCAATTTCATTCTTCAAAGACTTATAGTTCTTGTCATACAGGTCTTCACTTGTTTGGTTAGAATTACCCCAAGATATTTTATGTTGTTTTTGGCTATTTTGAAGGGTGCACCCCAGAGAGGCAGGGATGGTTAAACATACAAAAATATATCAATGTAATCTATCATATAAAGAACTGAAAGAAAAAAATCACATGTTCATCTCACTAGATGCAGAAAAAGCTTTTGGCAATACCCAGCATCTCTTCACCATAAAGGTCTTGGAGAGATTAGGGACACAATTCTTTTTTTTTTTAACACATATATTTTTTTTAATTTTATTTTCCAGTTTAAATTTAGATAAGAATCAAGGTTGCTTCACAAGTCAGTTCCAGGTCCCTCTCCCATTCCCTCCCTTCCTCCCGTGCCCTCCCCTCCCCCCGTTATCCTCTCATTTCTCCAGGGAGGGTGAGGCCCTCCATGGGGGTGTCTATAGTGTGTCATTTCATATAGGGCAGGGCCTAGACCCTTTCCCAAGAGTTCTGGGTGAGAGTGCACCTCACATTGTTCTATTGGAGTCCAAAGTCCGTGTGTATACTTGGGATGGGTACTTAAACATAATAAAAGCAATATACAGCAAGCAGACAGCCAACATCAAATTAAATGGAGAGAAACTCAAAATGATTCCACTAAAATCAGGAACAAGACAAGGCTGTCTACTCTCTCCATATCCATTCAATATAGTATTTGAAATCCTAACTAGAGCAATAAGACAACAAAAGGAGATCAAGGAGATACAAATTGGAAAGGCTGAGGTCAAAGTTTCACTATTTGTGAAAGATACGATAGTATAAGTGACCCCCAACATTCTACCAGGGGATTCCTATAGCTGATAAATACCTTCAGTAGTGGGATACAAGATTAATGCAGAAAAATCAGTAGACCTCCTATATACTGATGACAAACAGGATGAGAAAGAAATCAGAGAAACAGGAACACTCCTAATGCATTACTGTGTGGTTCATTTCAGGGTTTGTTGTTGTTGTTTTTGTTAAAATTTTAACATAATACTTGTATAATCCAAATGTAATGTCTAGTGTATCCTTACCTTCAGGAAGTAACATGGCATTTAATGTCACTTCAGATGTCCCTCTTACGTACCAAGTGGAAGGAAGCCGGCAGGCCCTCAAAGTTTACTTCTACATGGGTAGTTACCATTTTGAGCAACTGCCTCAACGGTTGAAGAATGGAGGAGGCTTTAAAGTTCATCCCGTTCTCTTTACACAAGGTGAGCTGTTTTCCTCTCCAAGCTTTGTACACGTAAACTGTTTTATCTTCGTTAAGGTTTTAAGTACATTCATTGTTAGCAGTGATTTTTTTCACTAATTTAAAAAATCTTTCGTGGTTTTCAAGTAATATAATTAATTGATTCTGGGAATGTTTATTAAGAGTGTTTGATTTAAATATATTCATTAAAGAGAACTAGAACATTTTATGAGATAGAAAAGTTGAGTAATTCAAAGAAATAAAGGTAATTTAAACCAAAAGAACTGGTTAAATAAAGTATGGGAGAAAAATCAAATGGCTAGCCTACTATATGACATAGAAAATGTTCAACTGTAGTGCATTTCTGTTGGGTGTGATGGTACATATCTATAGTCCAAGCATTCGGGTGGCTGAGGCAGAAAGGATGCTAATTTGTCACCAACTGGGCTATACAGTGAGGCTGTCTCAAAACGAACTAAACATACATATTGTTTTACTCTGGCTTCTGCTATGCATATATTCACGAATGTACATACATACATTCTGTGTCATTGGCTGCAAAAATTGATGCCTTTCATATTGCTTATGTCAGATTTTGTGAGGAAATGGGTATCCTTGTTTTATGTTTGTTTTTGTTTTTGAAGACAGGGCTTCTCTGTAGCTTTGGAGCCTGTCTTGAAAGTTGCTCTGTTGATGAGGCTAGCCTCGAACTCAAAGAGATCTACCTGCCTCTGCCTCCAGGGTCCAGGGATTACCACTGCCTGGTGTAAATGTGTATTCTTGATCTGTTTTTTCTGTAAGTAATCAGTGAATGACATCTGCAGTAGAAGGAATTAAGAATAGTATAAGAATGAAAGTTCTTGCTATGAATTTGAAGAGAAGCTCTGGATACCCAGAAAAGACCAGACATTCACATTATTGTGTCATTTCTGCTAGTTAAGGAGTAACACATTCACGTTACTGTGCAGTCTTTTTAGATTAGGCATAACTCCTTACCTCCTTAAATGCATCCTAGGGTGTCTTTCATACAGTGTGATCAAATACCCCACAATATTTCTCCACAGAGTTGGATGAGACAGAGAATGCTGGTCCAGAGAGTTCATTTTTTTTACAGCTTTAATTGGGCTTCTTCAGGACACTTTGTGAACTTTCTTTCTCTGTCCTTTTCTATTTTTATGAGAGATAGAGACACACAGAGACAGAGAGACACACATATACACAGTGAAACACATACACACAAAGACAGAGACAGACCACAGAAGGATCAACCTTGTGATGTTAGGCATGCGCCATTCAGTCACAAGTGCCTTTACCGGAGAGTCATCTTGACAACCTTGATTCTGTCTTTTTTTTAATTTAAATCTGTCTTTGAAACCATTACTGACATGACAGATGGTACTAAATATTTCTTTTAAATAATGTGTCATTCATGACACATCCACCTCCAGGAACTGAATAACCACAGCCCATTGAACATGCATGTAAGGAAAAGCTCATTTTGAAAGTAACCTTTCTTTTATAAATTTTATAAAAGCCATTTGAAAAATAAATCTACTGGTTTAGAATTTAATTTAAGAAGCTTGCAGTAAACATTTGGCTTTCATACCTTATAGCAGTAACATAAGAGAAACAGACGTTGTTGGGTGGGGGTGTATGCCAGGCCAGCCTGTTCTAAAGAGCAAGTTCCAGGCCATCCAGAGCTACACAGAGCTACACAGCTGTCTCAAAAAAACCAAAGGGAGTGGGCTCTGTATTCAAGACTACAAAAGAGAAGACTGGAAACAGCTGATCTCATTAAAAATCTGCCCATGATAGAGTTGTGCCCTTAAAGGGGTGAACAGTACTTCTGTAGTCATAAGGCTCCCATGTGCTTTCATTTCATCTCAGGGTTCTGACAGAAGCCTGCGGGAGATCCATGCTCACCCTTAGCAGAGAGTTACCCAGGTTTGTGACTGAAAAAAAGTCATGTTAAGAGAAAGAAATGATCTTTTCTTGGGATAAACATTATTTGAAGGGTTTGTGGCTCTTTACTAGCTACTTAGAAAATGGAAAAAAAATCTGTGACTGTGAAAATTTCCTGGGGGAGTCCTCATTGTCAGACCTCAGCATGGCCTATGGTAGCAGAAGCAGAGGTATTGCTTTCTTCCTCTCAAGGGCCGGAAGTGAGCAAGGTGGAAGGTGAATGTGTATTGCAGGAAGTCACAGCTTCAGAACGGTAACTAGACAACCCAAAGTGGAACTGATTTCCAAGACAAGGCATACGCAGATAATCTGGCAGGAAAGTTGACACAAAACATGCACAGTGTTTGAAGGCAAGGATCACTTTGAGGGAACCTGCCTCCTACACACACATGCTTCATTACAGGGTACACAGTGTAATGCAGATGGGTTCCTGGACCCATAGGGTGAGGAAAGTCAACAGCTCTTGTGTTGAGTAGCATACAGAGAATCGAACCTCAGGTCCCCTCCCATGACTTTCCTTCATGTCTCTATCAGAGGTAGTCAATGGAGGCTGCGCAGGGTCATCTTGGAGAGGTTTTAGAAAGTGCCCACACCTAGCCCCACACCACAGCCATTAATACAGAATCACTGGAAGGCGATGCACAAATGCCAAGATATCTTTGCAGTTTTCTCTGTTTCTGAGCCCACTGTGATAAGAAACCACTGATCTTCTGTTCTGTGAATGGATTGCAAGTATCCAGTTAATCTCTGTTTAATAATATTGATTCATTTCATGTATGTTCAGATGTCTAAAGTCTGTGTAGCCGGCGCAAAGCAGGCTAAGGGCAGTATAAAATATTCTACAAACTAATGATGCATTAAGATGCAAGCTGCCCTTACAAGGAGACATCACGTTGGCTCCAGGTTTAATTCACTAAAAGCAGATGGTGTGCTGAAGGATTCAGGGATGCCTTCTTCAGGACCCTGCAGCTAGGAAATGAACTGGCTATTCCTAACAGGTGTCTCTAGATACCTGTAACATCTTCTATAGCCTGTGTCCGTGTCCCTCAGATATTACCTTTTTGTAAAAATTGTAAGAGGCTTCTATGGGACCTTGGTCAACTTCCCTTCCTTGGAGGAGGCAGCATTTAGAAAAACCTGGTTATCGGGACAAGTTACAACCCTTACTCCTACAGCTCATTGGATTCTTCCTTCTCCTTATATGAAAGCCAGTTAGCAGTCTGGGGCCTGCTCTGAGGGTAGACAAGTTTCTCTCTAAGCTTGCACCTCTTCTAGTCTCTGTCGATGATCTGTGGCACAACCAGACTTTCATCCCTTGGGGACTTGGACTTCGAAGTCTGCTCCTTTCATTCCAGTTACTGCCCTCATCTACTTGTCATAACATCCAGGTGAGGAAGCCCCAAGGGACCCCAGCAGATCACCTGGCTTCTTCTTCCCCCAGGGGCACAACAGGTCAATCTTTTCCTGATAGCTAATGCTAGGAACTATATCTTACATTTCAGTGGGATCTGTGATTTGTCTCAAGGGAAAGCATCTCCTTTAAGGATCTTTTATTTATTTATTTAATCTTTCTTTTTATTAATTTTGTCAGGTGTTTTCACAGTGACAAAAAGTATAAAACAATATTAATGTCCTCCTTTGACAGGAACACTACCTTTATTAGTATTATTTCCATTACTTTATTTTGATTTGATTTTTCTCCCTTTTTTAAAAATTCAAATTAGAAACAGACTTGTTTTCCATGTCAATCCCAGTTCGCTCTCCTTTCCCTCCTCCCCTGCCCTCCACCAACCCCATATCTCATCTCCTTTCTGCTCCCCAGGGAGGGTGAGGCCTTCCATGGGTGATCTTCAAAGTCTGTCATATCATTTGGAGTAGGGCCTAGACCCTCCCCTGTGTGTCTAGGCTGAGAGAGTATCCCTCTGTGTGGAGAGGACTCCCAGTGTTCATTCCTGTATTAGGGATAATACTGATCCACTACCAGAGGACCCATAGATTATCCAGACCTCCAACTTGACATCCCCCTCGTTCAGGGGTCTGGAACAGTCCTATTCTGGTTTTCTAGCTATCAGTCTGGGGTCCATGAGCTCCACCTTGTTCAGGTCAGCTGTTTCTGTGGGTTTCTTTGCTTGGTCTTGACCGCTTTGCTCATCACTCCTCCCTCTCTGCAACTACATTCACAGAACTCAGCTCAGTGTTTAGCAGTGGGTGTCTTCTGTTTCCAACAGCTACTGAATGAATGTTATAGGATGGCATATAAGGTATTCATCAATTCATCAATCTCATTATTGGAGAATGGCACTTAAGGTGGCCTCTCAACTATTGTTTAGATTGTTAGTTGGGGTCAACCTTGTAGATCTCTGGACACTAGAAACATAAGTAAGAAACATGAGTGGTCCCAGACTGAGTCAGTGGAGTGGATGGGCCAGTTTCTTAAGCCTGCCATAGCAAACTGCATCATCTGAAATTTGTTCTATCAGCATTCTACAGGGCTACAGTCTGAAATTAAGTTGTCCACAGGACATGCTTCCTCCAAAGGTTCTAGTGAGCAATCTTCCCACTTTCTGTCAGTTCAAGGCTACCACTATAGAGGCTCTGCCTCTCTTTGATGACCCCTTCCTTGTCTTGTCTATCTCTATGTCTTTGTGTACCGTTTTTCTCCTCTGACAATGATGCATCTCGCTTGATTTGGGCCTTCTCTAATCCAATATGATTTTTTAAAATGATGACATTGGTAATGTTTCACAGTAAAGTTGCAGTTTCATTTTGTGGGTACTACAAGTTGGGACTTGGTCATGTATTTTGAAAGTTACAATTCAACTCCTAACAGATGGTATATGCTATCCTTTCTTCTGCCATCAGTGGCTCCCCAGACTGTGCTATACTGTGAGCTGATAGGACATTGCTAAAGCTCTGTGAAGTGAAATCCACGACAACCCTTCTGGAGGGCATTGTTGAGTATCTATGTGCTGGTCTTTGGGTACTGGTCATCTTTAAATAGAACCGCATGTCTAAGTGCTGTCTTGGGAGTTTCAGCTGCATGTCTCCTAGAGGGATTGG